AGGGGGGGGGTAAAGGATGGCTGGCATGTAAGGCTGACAACTTGACCATTATCTGTGAGCCAATTGTCTTGAGAAAATGTGGGAGCATCGATGTCTCACAACCCTATGGGCCTACACGCCCAGTTACAGGAATAGCTTTACCTTTTTTTACATGGTCACTAAATAACGAAGCACTGTGTCCAAAAGCATATTTCACTGAGTGCAGAGTATGAAATGTCAGGTTATTAAATCCTCTGAGTTTGAGATTGTCACAGTGGTGACTATGAACATATTATTTTTTGGAATATAGTGCCATGTAGTCCAGTTGAAGTCCCTACACATTTCGGAGGAACATACTGCCTCCATCTTCAGGGTCGAAGAGTAACACAGAGTAAGATGAATGCAGTATTACATTCCAGAAGATAGTGCTCTTTATAACCCATTGAAGTTTGAAGTTCATCTTAATTTAAAAATACAGTTTCTGCCTTACATAAATAATGTTTTTGCAATTCTGATGGTCAAAAATAATTACTGCATATTGTGAGCATGATACAGGACATATTCTCAGTGTACAAAGTATAGAGGTTCTGAGTGGTAGATTAGGTTATATTTACAGTACCCACTTTACTTTAAAGGGTTAACAATACTATATCAGTGCCAGATATAATTTGGCATTAATATGGGTTATAAGAACTGGTAGTCAAATTTTGTATTCCTCTCATATTCCAATACTTCTATCATAATTCTATGGCAAAATAATGAGATACATGCATTTGAAAAAATGTACACATATTTCTATAAGTCCAGAAACATTAATTTTGTACATTTATGTCAGATATATGCTTTCTTGCAGGTTGGGATCCTAGCAGACAAGTTTGGCCGCAGGAGATTATGCATTGCATATAGTTTTCTTTATGCCATCTCATGCCTCACCAAAGCTTCCCCAGTGTTCTCCGTTTTGATGATAGGACGTATTCTGGGTGGAATCTGCACCTCCATCTTTTTCTCAACATTCGAAGCATGGTATGTTCACCAGCACAGCCAGAAATTCCACTTTCCACATCAGTGGATCAACTTAACATTGGCTAAAGCAACGTTTTATAATGGTGTTCTTGCAATTTTTGCTGGTGTTGTGTCAAACATTGCTGCAGAATGGGCCCAGTTTGGTCCTCTCTCTCCGTTCATGATTGCAGTACCCTGTTTTTTAATATCAGCATTTGTAACAATGTACATGTGGGAGGAAAATGACATTAAATCTACCTACGCTCTTAATTACAGTTGTGCTTCACTTGAAGCTATTTTTAGAACACGAAGTAGTTCAGTTTTATGTTTAGGAATAATCCAATCACTCTTTGAATCAGTGATGTACACTTTTGTGTTCCTTTGGACACCAGCCCTTGAACCATTAAGGCCTCCACTAGGGATTGTCTTCTCATGTTTCATGCTTTGTATCATGATTGGTTCATCTATATATTCATTCCTTCTAGCACGAAATTGCTTGGCAGAACATCTGCTACGTATGTCATTTTTCCTTGCTCTTGTTGCCATAATCCTGTCAGCTGGAGCAATGAAAATGGTCTCCTTATATCCACAAGATACAGGAAAATATACATTAGTTGCTTTCTTTGCTTTTCTCCTATATGAAGTTGCTGTGGGAATGTACTTCCCAGCAATAGGGTACCTTCGAAGTCAGATAATTCCAGAACAATTCCGAGCAAGCATAGCAAATTGGTATCGTATTCCTATGAATATGTTCACCTGTTTAAGTCTTCTTTGGTTTAAGAACAGTGTACACAGTGACAAGGAATTTTCTTTTGATACAGCAGTTTCTAGTCTTAAAGCTTTCCTCATGTGTATTATTTTACTTTTCTTAGCACTAGTCTTTTGCAAGGCTCTGAAGAGAGGAAATGAGAATATAAAACTAATTATGGAATCTGTATAGTACAGAATATTTTAAAAGTTTNTCTTTGTTTGTTTGTAACTGCCTTTTGAAATACGGGAGGTTGATTTGCCGGACCCTGTATTATCTTCTGAACAAAACAGTACATTATAGGAACACACAAAAAACAAGGTTAGTAGTATTTTCGGTATGAACTGAGCTTCTTTCTGTAAGAATAAGTTTCTTTAGACTGATCACCTTGTCTCCTAGAAACTCAGATATTTGAAATAATGGTGTCATTAACAGGGGACTAACAACATTAAAGAATTTAAACAGGAAACTAACAGCTTTCACTGCGCAAAAAACAGTTTCTATTTACAAGCAAACAATGGAGACCAGACAGATATTAGATCTACTGACACCATAAAAGCAAGATTGAGACAACTCTTCCCAGGTTTCTGCAGCTATGTCTATGGTGTTTTTAATATACAAAAATTGTCTGCTTTTTTCCATCCCAATATGATTTGCAACTGTTGCTTTGAGGTAGTAATCCCTAAATTTCGAAATGACACCTCTGTTTACTGGCTGGAGAAGAACCCTCATGTTGGTGGGCAAAAAGAAACAACTTATATAAGTGTGGATAATGCTTGCATGACAGAAGGTCATCCTGCAACAATATCCGTATATATTCATTCATTCATCAGTAATCTGTCAGACGACAGGTCCACAATCTCTTCCAAAACAGTTCCTCCACTTAATGCGATCTTCTGTTTTTGGAAAGAGACTATCCAGGAAAAGTGATAATGTGGTAGTTTTTCCATTTGCTTTCCACATCGCAGTACAGCAGCCGTTCAAACCACTCTGGTCACNATATATATACATAATTAAGTTATCTCTTTTAACTTTTATTTTCTTGACTGAAAGTAACAGCTCTGATATTTTTTTCTGCATACATCTGAGAAATGTGTCACTTTTCCCCAGTTTATTCACATAACCAGTGACAGTATTAGAGCCAGCTGCGAATGAACTGTACATATTTTGAATTATGAAAAATTATATTTTATATTGTAAAATTTCTATGCCACAATTTATATCATCTAATATACATATGTAAAGTAATTGTAGTGAGATTTTAGGCCCTAATTTATTAAGTAGAGATAGATTTGGAATGAATTATCCCAAACCATGATGGATTCATTCTCAGTTTTACATGTTTGTAGGAGTGTTCAGCACCAGTGATTAAAAAGATGAAAAATGAAAATGCCAAATATTGGCAGTGGAAAGTGTTCTTTCCCCCTTTGTTTGATACTGACCCTGTACTCATAACTCGGCTACTAGTGTATGAATCACTGACACATTGGTACATGTTATAGCACTATATATTTTATGAACTGCAAGTGACTTTCTTAAAATAATTTCTTGTCTGTGTACATATTGTATCATTTTTCTGTACATATGTATTGTTTCTATATACCTGTACGAGTAATATTGAATACAGCACGCTGTATTTATCTTTGCAGTCTATCACACTTGGCCCATAGAAAATGAAAGAAGATTGGCATTTTATCATTGAAGTTGTGTAAGGGAATTAGTCAAGTCACTGGTGTCAACCCTACTCTTATAATGGCAGTAAAGTTTCCTGGTACACTATATACTTTTTTCTTTACTACATTATGTTTAAAAATTGTAATTATGGCTTTTATTTTTTTGAAGTGATATCAGCAATGTAAAAGTGATAGAGCATTCCCTTCACAAGTATGCAACTTTAATGAGTAGTTCACTTCCATAAAATTTAATCCCAGTGCACCAGAGTGCTTACTGTGCAGTGTTCAATAGCTTTGCAATAAAAGCAAGTACAGGGCATATGTATTTATTTATGTTTAATAACTGAACAAAGTTAAATTTGAAGCATAAAGTTATCATCCTTTTACTGATATTTTTTAGTCTAGTCAACCATATGAAAGCAAAAACTAAATGAAATAAGGATCCAGGATTTCATTTACACTGAAATGAAAAACATTGACATTAAACAGCTAAGAGGCAGAAAGTACACATCAGCTGACCAGAAAGTAAATTTTCTGTTAAAAGTAGAAACTCATTTTAATTACAATGTAGTGTTAAAATATGTGACTTTAAACAGAAAATGTTTCCAATATCAGTTACAATACTTCTTTTATAGTATGCAGAAATATGAAAATTTATAATTACTTCTGGGTCTGAACAACATTTAAGTCTGAACTTTATAAGCCCAACTTAAAGGTAGAGTTGTCCCTGATCTTAATTAATTGAACACCACCCATGAAGAGGTCTGGGGTTGAGGTATAGCTCCACCATTCTTGACCTCAGCACTAGATGGAGGTTAGTGGTCGGCATCATGCCCCAGCCCATTTACATATATTAATGTTAATTATGAATTACTGAATTTCCTTTGCCTAGTGTCCTTCTGTTACTCATGATATAGAATATCNGAAACCCATAATTAAGATCTGGCAGTATTACTGTGATACAATGGTCAATGCTCAGGAAGCATACACCCAGGAACAAAGTGTGAACAACAGGTTTAATTTTGTATGTAATATTTATTATACCTGAACCGTGGTTTTGTTTTATATGTTAAAAATGTTGTTGAATTATGTATTTTTTTAAAATAATTGTAACTAAACTGTTGTGAAACAAATTTGCTCAATTTGTGCATAATATACTGAAGTTATTAAAAAGTATACTGATTAAAAATCAGTGATTTATATGTTGACTTTTAACATTTTGAGAAAATTAAATTACCATGCTCTTTATGTTGTTTTTTTTTTTCAATTTACCTAATCCTTCCAGCCACACCGTGGCCCTGGGGTCGACTCAGCCTCTAACAGAAATGAGTACCAGGAATATTCTTGGAATATTGTTGGTTCCGAAGTTAAGTGGGGCATCTTATGCAGTAAGAGCTTTGTTACATGTCAGCAACATTGATACACTGAAATCAGTTTATTTTGCCTACTTTCACCCTATAATGAAGTATGGATTAATATTTTGGGGTAACTCATCTGACAGCAAAAAAGTATTTACACAAAAGAAAATTGTTAAAATCATGGTGGGCATAAAACCTCAAAATTCTTGTAGAGAGCTATTTAAGAGATTACAGATCTTACCTCTTCCATGTAAATATATATTTTCATTATTAAGCTTCATTATAAATAACCAAGAACATTTTCAGACCAATTTGGATGTACACAGTGTTAACACAAGAAACAAGCACCATCTCCATAGACTGGTTGCTAACCTGACATGTTTTCAGAAAAGCGCATATTATTTTGGCATTACAATTTTCAACAATCTATCTAGTCTCAAAAGTCTAATGAATAAAAAGGCGCAATTTAAATTAACACTGAAAGGATACTTAAATACGCACTTATTGTACTCTGTTGATGAATTCCTATTGTCTAAAAACGACTCGTCCTTTTAAAAGGTTATGTACATGGCATAAGTTGACAGTATTGACTTATATATGTATTTTTTTTGTGTCTCAGTTGTACTGTATTAATGGATTTTGTATTTGTATGACTTGTTCCACATCCTACAGTCATTCTGACTTACTTTGGATCTACAGAATGTAATGTATATATGTATATGTATGGTAAAGGGCGGCCAGCAAATAGGGCTGACAACCTTACCTCCATCTGTGAGCTGATTGTCTAGAAAATGTGGGAACCTGAACATCTCACAACTCTATGGGCCTCCACGGCCTGTTACAGGGATACATTTACTTACTCTTTATGTGACATTTGCCTCTGCTTTTTTTTGGATTTACAACTGCAAGATGTTCTAACTGGCTTCCAGATTTGTCTTAGGATTACATATAGTATATTAAGTTGTAAGAAGTAGAATATTTTGACCAAGTAAAGCTAATACAAAAGTCTACCTTACAAACCTATAGAAAATCCAAATATCCTGGAAGGACATAAAAAATGTAACCACATGGAGATATACGATTATAATTGACATACTTCAGCAGCTTGCAAGCTTTGTCAAATTTTAAATTTAGTCTGTTTTTTAAAAGAACGCTCCTGTACCATACTGTTACCTGGCTAGTTAGAAATATCTAATTTGGATATTTAATTCGTGATTCAGGTGAGATGCCATTCTAGGGGTCAATATTTGAGCTCATACAATCAAAACTACAAATTGGTGAAAAATATCTAACAGTGATGTCATTGGAATTTTAACTTTTCTTTTGTTTTTCCCAGATCGTTTTATTCTTATGAGGTAATCATTAATGTTATTTTTAGCGTCCTGTTGCACTGATTAAAGTCCATGATTTATTTCAACCGTCTTCCAGTGCATACACTCCTCTCTCTCACACTACATGTTTCGGCACAAAAGTGCCATCTTCAGGTGCTTATTCAATTTACGATAAACTAGTTCACTGCATGCCTTGCCGTCTTCGTATTAAAATAACTAAAATATATATTTATCATATATATTGATAAATATTAAATATTAAAAATATTAAAATTGTTCAGGNAGTATACTGCGAGAGAGAGGAGTGAGATAGATGAGTGTATGCACTGTACAGGTGCACATTCATGCTGATGCACCCCAGAACCCATTCACAATATTTGTACCTACTCAAGGACAGGAGAACTGCTACCTTAACTCACACTATAACCAGTAATTGTTCCTTTCTTTACATACAGGAACCACTTACTTACTTACTTACTTACTTACTTACTTACTTACTCTTGGAGCTGAGCCCTTCTGGAGGAGCTGCCAATTCTGCAGCTACTCAAGAATTTCCCAGCATTTTATGGAAGGTTCCTTACCGTGTTCACAAGAGCCCTCCACTGGTCCCTATCCTTAGCCAGATTAATCCAATCCACACCATCCCATCCTTACATACAGGAACCACAGATACATTAATTTCCCAGTAGAATACAGTCAGCATTTTCTAGGTCTGTATAACAGTGAAAGTTGAGCATCTCTGTTTTGTTCATGATTGCGTGATGCTGATAAATATGAAAACAGAGACCACATAGTTGGCCTGCAAAATAAAATATGATTCAAATTATGACAGAATCTTGGTATGTCTGATGTTC